CGTGTATAACCTGGCCTGGGCTAAGATGTTATACCTCCAAGTGGTGTCATATGCCTTCTCAATATCAAAAAAGACTGCTAGGACTGTGTTTTTGTTAACAAAGGCATTTCGCACATACGCAGCTAAGTGGAGCAAGGGGTCCAAAGTAGAGCGGCCCTTGCGAAAGCCATATATCAAACGCCTATTCACCAGTCCTCTTCAAGGGAGGCTCCTTGCCGCGGCAAAGAGGCTCTTGGTCTCGGGAATCAAATCCTTTGGTCTCCTTCCTCAGACCGAGTCTAAGTACCCCCCCCCAATCCGCCCTTCCCTATCCCATCCTCCCATCCCCCCTTTTTTTCCCCCTTTCCTCCCATCTCTCAATCCTCCCCTTTCCCTGTCTCGTTTGTAGTATCTTGGGTCCGCCCCACTGGCATTACGGTTTCTAGGTGGGGCGATGTGTGCCAGAGTTAGTCCCACTCCATGGGGTCCCTCGGGGTGGTGTGGTTTGCCGTGGAATCTGAATTGTCTGGAGGTGCCCTGCTTCCTTCCCGGATTTCCGAGAAGTGGGCGGGGTGTCCTGCAGATTATGGGTGTATCTCCAGAGGCTGACTGTCGCTTTTGGGAGGTGGCAGCCGAAGGAGGTATGTTTGTGGCCGACTGCCCTTTCTTTTGTCCGCTGAGATGGCTCGGTAGATGCGAGGCTGTTATCCCGGAGCTGATTTACTGGCGTGAAGGGTAGGGTATGGCACGGGTTCCCACGCTGCATCTTCACTACTAGTGGGCTCAAGGCCCTCTCGGACGAGGGGATGAGCTTCTGGCCCTTCCATGCCTCCTGGTGACTCCTTCCACTGTCCCTCTTTTTTTTCTTTCCTTCCTTCTTTTTTCTTAAAATAACAAGAAAGAAGATATCACAGAAGAAGCACCTTTATCATGGAATCATCGCTTGGTGAAACCCTCCTCGTAGGCCCCTTTCTGATTCCACACCCTGTTCTGACCCGACTTCATTATTGGATCATTCTCAAGACTCTTCTCATACTCCTGTACCTTCTGCCGGTGATGCTCTGTCACCTGCTCCAGGTGCTGAGGCACCACCCGTTTCTGCTCATGCTGTTGCTTCTTGCACGCCTTTAACAATACGTCCGGCTTCCCCAAATATGGTACAACGGTTTTTGGATCGCCCACTTCCCTCAGATCAGACCGCCCATGGTACTACTAAACATTCAAGACAACCTACTGACGACAGTTCTTCGATGTCGGCTCAAAAACGACCTACGCGACACTCGCTACCTTTGCATACCGGGTTTACAAGTATACACTGGACTAAATTCCTTTTCTTACAAAGTCTCAAACTGATTATCTTTCTGATCATGGAATTGGTAAAGCTCTTTTATGGCATGTTGGCCAAAATATATCCTTCCACGCTCTTCGAAGAGGTGCACATGTCGTAACTGTGCAGAATTCAGAACAAGCTCATGCTCTCTCCCATATCACTTCTATAGATAACATACAAGTCACCATTCATAAACACACTACTCTCAGTTCTTGTAGTGGTACTGTGGTCTTACCGTGTACCATTGTATAAAATAATTTTTTGTCTTGTGGCGATGATATTTTAGAACAATTAGCCCTTCAGGACCTTCCTGTTATTAAGTTAGCTACATATATCCTGCCCGCTCATGGGCGGAGGCGCTTTTCTATTAATGTCGCCCTCTTAACCTTCAACTGCCGTGAACTTCCGTCCTATGTATTGCAGGCCATCGCCTAGAGGCCCATAAAGTAGTCCCCACTCCCCAACAGTGTCATAATTGCTGGTTTTTTGGGCACCCCGCTAAATACTGGAGATCTGCAATGGAATGCCCTGTCTGCAGTGCAGGTCATTCCAATACACCTTGTAGTCTTCCCCCCTCTTGTCTCAATTGCAATGACTCTCATCCTGCTTTTTCATGACATTGTCAAGTCTGTTGTAATGAACGAGAGATCCGGTATCTTAAGAAGTGTGAGGGTCTTACCTATGGGGGTGTCTCAGCTCCACCTTCATGGAAAACTCCGTATCCCTTATGCTCGAGTAGCCTGGAGACCTCCAACCTCGACGGTCCTCCCTCCCTCCACGACCATGTATTCCGGAGTCACCCCTGTTTCTAATACTTTTGCTGTTTTATTCTCTGAAACTACTACCTCCGTGCCTCTTCCTCCTCCTTCATCTCGCTCGCTTGCTTCTCAGTCTATGAGACCTCGCAGACCTACACTTTCTTCGTGTCCATCACCTGTAAAGTTGAATCAATCTGTCTACCTCGGGGCCTAGTTCTCACCCCTTTTCCAACTCTCGCACGAAAGTGGAGGTTCACTCCCCCCTCGTGTAGTGCCCTCTTCTCCTGTTCCTCCCTGTCTTCCATAGCTACCTTCCAACCTCCTCCCTCTCCTTTTACACTGCAGGATTCTTCTGCCCATTCCAATACACCTCTCCAGGTTCATACTCCTCACCCCTTCCCCCCAGACCTCTTTGGTTGCCTCCATAGTTACTCCAACCTCTACTTGCTCTACCTCTCCTGTTTCTGATATCATGGTATCGTCAGCTTCCTTAACCGCTGAGACGTTAGATGCTGTCTCCAGCTATATTGCAGAGACACCCTCAATGGACACCAACACACCTCCTTCTACCCCCTTCTTTTTCACGACCCTCGCAACAATCTTTTCCTCTGCAGCATTCTGATTCCTCCTTGCTTACATGCTTACTGTTACCCCCACCTGTTGACTTTATTGATCCTAAAACCCCATCTGTTTTATCGTTTCTTATTGTTGCCATTTTTATTTTTTTGTATATAATGCCTTTTTTACAATGGAATATTCGTGGCCTCAGGGGCAATTGAGGAGAATTACAAGTGTTGCTCTCCCAGTTGTCCCCAGCATGTGTTGGGTTACAAGAGCCCAAAATTCGTTTAGCTATCATTCGACCCGTCTTGGGCTCTGTGCTGTTAAATTCTTCCTATCCTTTTCCTGACGAATCTTTTAATGAAATCATGCTATACCAGTTTATCAACTTGCGTTGTTATACCGTATCAGCAAGTTTTTGTTCGTTCTCTGCTGCATTATACTGCAACTCGTGTTTATTTACACATGATATACAGTTTACTCTATATCTTTCTTCCTCCCATTCATTCTGTATCTTAGATATCGCATTTTTAATTTCTTCTCCACTGCCGTCCATCCTGTTGGGTGATTTTAATGCTCACTATCTGTGGAGAGGGTCCCACCGTGACTCTCGTGGTGATCGGTTGGAGATTCTTCTCGCTTTTAATCCTCTTCATGTTTTAAATACAGGTACTCCTACCCATTTTGACACTCTCACTCAGTCTCCTACATTGATCTTTTCATCTGTTCCTCGTCAATTGCACTTGACTTCACTTGGTCTGTTCTTCCAGATTTACACGACAGTGATCACTTTCCTATTCTTCCACTACACATGTCCGACCACCTCGTAGCCCTTGTAGGAAATTTGCTCGAGCAGATTGGGTCTTATACTCTCATCTTACCACCTGTTGTGAGGACCCCCTTTTGCCCTCCATTGATGAACCGGCACACATGTTCTATCTCCCAAACCTCAGGTAGGCATTCTCAGACATGCGTACCTTGGTGGTCTGCTGCATGCGCCCGTGCAGTGCATGGGAAATGTGCTGCGTGGGGCCGTTTTCGATATAATCATACCTGAGAACGTCTGTTGGATTTTAAGCGGACAAGGGCAGTTGCTCGCTGCGTCATACAAGATGCTAAACTCGCTTGTTGGCGAAACTACATGTCTTCCATTACCTCGTTTTCCTCTATGTGCGCGATTTGGAAAAAGGTGCGGAAGTTGTGTGGCAAGTACACTCCGGACCCAGCTCCCATTTTGCGAATTGCTGGAGTTAATATCGCAGAATCTCTAGAAGTTGCCTCGGAAATCAGGAACTATCTTGTCCATATCTCCCAAGGGCTTCACCTTTGTCCCTCATTTCTTGCGACTAAGCCTGCCAAGGAGCAATTGCTCTTAGATTTCTCCTCTGATGGAATGGAGCCATATAACGTACCTTTTACTCTTCTAGAATTAGAGTCCATACTTGCTGTTTGCCGGTCGTCGGCAACATGACCTGATGATATCCATATCATTATGCTACATAATCTCCATTCTATGGCCCTTCCAGTTCTTTTATGCCTTTTCAATCTTATTTGGGAGTGAGGGATTCTCCCTCAATTGAAATCTGCTATTGTACTACCATTTCGTAAACCAGGCAACTCTGGGTTTTTAGGTAAGACACATATGCAACAGTTAGGTATCTTTATTTCAACGTTTCGCCAACAGTGTAGGCTTCTTCAGTTGAGTACAGAAAAGTTGATAGAAGCAGAAGAGACTTGAAGACGATGTAATCAGTCCATCACCCTTAAAGTTTTGAGGTGGTCAGTCCCTCAGTCTGGAGAAGAGCATTGTTCCATAGTCCGAAACAATATGGAGTTGAAGTGACAGGATGGAGCCTTATATAGCGCCAGGATTTATATAGCGGCTGGATTTAAGAGGGACCTGACCTCCCAACATCTGCGTTCTACTAGTGACCTACGTCTCACCTCCTGGCGCTATATAAGGCTCCATCCTGTCACTTCAACTCCATATTGTTTCGGACTATGGAACAATGCTCTTCTCCAGACTGAGGGACTGACCACCTCAAAACTTTAAGGGTGATGGACTGATTACATCGTCTTCAAGTCTCTTCTGCTTCTATCAACTTTTCTGTACTCAACTGAAGAAGCCTACTGTGTAGACGAAACGTTGAAATAAAGATACCTAACTGTTGTATATGTGTCTTACCTAACAACCTGTCGGTATTTTATACCATTTTAATGTTCAACTCTGGGTTTGATACCTCCCACTACCGTCCCATTGCCTTAAGTAAGTAAGTAAGTAAGTTTATTCAGGTATACACAAATACAGTTACATAGAATTATCATACATAGCAGCATATGTGTAGAGAACCTAGGATAACCCATTCTGCCATTTACTTAGAGGAGGTGTATTTGGTTACAGCCTTGGTGCCCTCAGAAACAGCGTGCTTAGCCAGTTCTCCAGGTAGCAAGAGTCTTACTGCTGTCAGGATTTCGCGACTAGTAATGGTAGAACGCTTGTTGTAGTGAGCTAGGCGAGAAGCTTCAGCTGCAATGCGTTCAAAGATGTCGTTCACAAATGAATTCATGATCGACATTGCTTTGGACGAGATGCCAGTGTCGAGATGGACTTGCTTCAGGACCTTGTAGATGTAGATACTGTAGCTCTCCTTCCTCCTGCGCTTCTTCTTGTCGCCCTTTGCAATTGCTTTCTGGGCTTTTCCAGCTTTCTTGGCAGCCTTTCCTGAAGTTTTGGGAGGCATGATGCAACTTACGTTGACGAGGTAGTCGTCCAGTGTAGTCTGCAAGGTGATGGAACGATTGGTAAATTAGATGTCTGATGTGGTTCTTGGAGACTCACAATAGTCTCTCCCCTCGCCAATATGTCTTTCTCAAGGGCCACTCTACTTAAGACCCCTTGCTTCACTTAGACAGGTATATTCGAAATGCCTTTGCTAACAAACACTCAGTCCAAGCGGTCTCTTTTGATCTAAAAAAAAAAGCATGACACCACTTGGAGGTATAACATTTTCGCCCAGTCCTTAGGCCTCGCTTTCCTCAGATTTTGTACAAGATGAGGGAGTCTCACAGAGTTGTGTTCTTAGCACTACCATTTTTCTCTTAGCTTTAAATTACCTACCTTCCGTTCTTCTTTGGCATACTTGGTCGTCACTTTGTGGATGACTTTGCTATAGCTTACTCAGGCGCTGACTGTCACCCAGTAGCAGTATCCCTTCAGGATGTAATTGACCGAGTTTCCCATTGAACCACTTCTCATGGCCTTAAATTTTCTAGTACGAAAACCTGATTCATTACCTTCACTAGACGTCCGCTTATCCCATATACTCCATTGTACTTAAATGGTTCACGTATTTTTGAATGTGATACAGTCAAGTTTCTTGGCCTGCTCTTTGATCGCCGGTTAATATGGAAACCTTACATTTCTTTTTGAAATGCAACTTGCAACGGTCGGCTGAATATCCTGAAAGTTCTCGCACATCGTTCATGGAGAGCAGATCGTCTCACTCTCCTCTGTTTGCATTCCACTCTAGTCTTCTCCAAGCTGGATTATGGTGAGCAAGTCTATTTTGCGGCCTCTCCCGCAACTCTTTCTAAGTTAGATCCCATTCATCATCAAGGTCTCCGTTTATTCCTTGATGCCTTTCGTTCATCTCCTGTTGAAAGCCTCTATACAGAGGCGAATATTCCTTCCTTAGCTGATCGCCGTGATGCTCATTGTCTTCGTTATTTTGTCTGTGCTCATGATCTTCGTGTTCCTTTTATGTATAGGTTAGTCTCAGACAGTCGGAACCCACTGTTTGTTCGACGCCCCTGCCTGCTCCTACCGTTTTCTCTTCGTCTTCACTCTGGTCTTCTGTCCAGTTGCCTCCCTTGTACATTCATTTAGTGTATGCCTTTTCCCTTTCCCCTTGGGAAGTTCCGAAGGTTCATATCTGTTCTCCCCCACTACCGTGCGCTAAAGCTTTATCTACGCCTGCTACTCGCTCTTTTTCTCAAGTACTTTTGGTCACATGCTCATGTCACTGCTGTATACAGATGGTTCTGAATCTTCTGATGGTGTTGGGTTCACGGCCGTATTCCCTGATGAAGTTGTCCGAGGCCACTTGTTAGACTCGGCTAGTATTTTTACTGCGGAGTTGTGTAATCCTCATCGCACTTCTTCGCATTATGTATATGTCGCCTTCGACGTTTGTGTTCATTTCGGATTCCCTCAATGCTTTACAGGCCATTAAACAATTTGATTCCCCTCATACATTAGTCACGGTGTGTCTAGCAAAAATAAAGATGTCGCTTTCTGTTGGGTCCCTGGACACGTTGGTCTGCAGGGTAACGAGCAAGCAGATGCTGCTGTGTGGTCAGCGGTACATAATCTTCCAGTTTCTTAGAATCTGTTCAGGGACTATTTTCCAGTCATCTCGGCCCATCTCCGCAGCCGTTGGCAACAACGGTGGTCGGGCATGCACCGTAATAAATTGCGATCTATTAAACTCCTCTTAGGTTTGTGGCCATCTTCTTATCACTGTTGCCGTTCTCTGGAGACTGCACTTTCCCAGCTCCGCATTTGTCATACACGCCTTACCCATGGGTATCTCATGGATAGGCACCCTATTCCTCTCTGAGGTTTGTTGGGTACCTATTTCGGTTCTCCACTTTCTTTGTCGATTACCCGGTTCACCAGCGAGATCGCAGGATTTACCTTCAATGACACAGCCATCCTACCACTCTTTATCTTCTATACTTGCAGACGACCCCACCTTTGACTCCCAATCACTTTTTGACTTTTTGTCAGCAACTGCCTTATACGAACTTTGACACAGCCCTTAACGTCCTTTCCAACCGTTTTCTTCACACAACTCGGGTCCCCTCTCCACCTAGCTGTTTATAATCTCCGCACTATTTGCTGCCCCGCAGCACTATATGACCCTTGTTGGTTTAGCGCTTTCTTTGACTACACTGGTCAGAGCAATGGGACGATTTGAGAGGTATCAAGCCCCAAGGTGCCTGGTTTGCAAAACTGTAAGACAATGACAGATTTCCATTGTTGAGGGAGAACCCCTCACGTCCAAGTAAGATTGAAAAGATGCAAAAGGAAATGGAGGACAGAGGTGAAGCCCCTGGGAGACACGAACAAGATAGTTCACGATTTCGGTGGCAACTTCAAGAAGTTCTGCAACACTAACACCAGCATTCCACAAAACAGGAGCTAGGTCTGGAGCACACTTGCCACACAACTTCCGTACCTTCTTTTAAACCGCACACGTAGGGAAAGTTGAGGTAATGGTAGACACAGTCGTGCCACCAAGTGCGTTTAGCGTCACTTATGACATGGCGAGCGACTGCCCTTACCCGCTTAAAATCCAAGAGACGATCAGAGGTCCGATTATACAGATAATGGCCCCACCAGTACGTTTCAAATGCACTGCACAGGCACACGCAAGAGACCACCAAGGCACACATGTCTGAGAATGCCTGCCTGAGGTTTGAGGAATAGAACGTGATGCTGTAGTCAAAACTAAGGTCGAAAACTGGTGTACCAGCTTACCAATAGAGGAGGAAGGGTTCTCACAAAAATTGGTAAGATAAGAGTACAAGTACCAATTTGCTCATCCAAATTGCCAATGAGGGCTACGAGGCAGTTGGGAATACATAGTAAAAGTAAGAAGAATAGGCAAGTGATCACTGTCGTGCAAATCCAGGAGAACAGACCAAGCATAATCAAGTGCGACTGACGAGCAGATAGAAAGATCAAAACAAGAGAGACTGAGTGCGAGAGTCAGAATGGGTGGGAGCACCCGTATTTAAGACATGAAGAGGATGAGAAGTCTCCAACTGATCACCATGAGAATCACAGTGGGATCCTCCCCAAAGATGTTGAGGCATGTTAAAATCACCTAACAGCAAGATGGGCGGCAGTAGAGAAGAGATCAGGAATGCATTATCCGAAGTACATGATATAGAGAACAAACTGTATACCATCTGTGCAAATAAATATGGGCTGCAGTATAATGCAGCAGAGAAGGAACGAGGACCTGTTGAAACGATATACCAGTGCACACAAGAAGCACACACTCATTAAATGATTCATCAGGAAAGGGATCAGCAGAATGCAACAGCGCACACCCTGGAACGGGAAGAATAACCGCTGACCGAATTTTGGGTTCTTGTAACCCGATGCATACTGAGGAAAACTGGGAGAGCAACACCTGGAACTCTCCCCAATTACCCCCTGAAGCCACGAATATTCCATTGTAAATAAGTCATTATTTACAAAGACAGATATGCCAACAATAAGAAGTGATAAAATCTATGGGCTATTAGGGTCAGTGAAGTCAATTTGTGGAGGCAACGGTAAGCATGTAAGCAAGGAGGAATCAGAATCAGAGGGTCGTGAAAAATAAGAAGGGGTGGGAGGAGGCACGTCTGTGTCCATCGAGGATTTCATCCCCCCCCCCATATAGTCAAGTGTCTCGGCGGATAAGGAAGATGCCGATACCGTGATTTCAGAGACAGGTGAAGTAGAGCAAGTAGAGATCAGGGAGACTATGGAGGGAACCAAAGAGGTCTGAGAGGGGAGGGTAGTATGAACCTGAAGAGATGCGATGGCGGGGGCAGAAGAGTCCTGCGGTGGAGCAGGAGAGGAAGGATGTTGGAAGGCAACTGGGAAAGAAGACTGGGGGGAACAGGAGAAGAGGGGACTACGGAAGGCGGGGTGAACCTCCACCTCCATATGAAAGTTAGAAAGGGGGCGAGAACGAGGCACTGAGGCCGAAAAGGAGAACTGTTGGGGAATTGTAAGTACTGGAGGAATGCAAAGAAACTTGGGCTTATGAAATAGGTTCAGCTTTGCAGGCAATAGGTGCAAAGAAGATGCAGGTATGTGATGCCTTGCAGACTGAGAAACTAGTGGGCGAGAAGAAGTAGAGATAGAAGTAGGGAAGGAGGTGGGGGTTTCAGAGGGTAAAACTACAAAAGAATTAGAGATGGGGTGACCCAGGATGGCACAACACTAGAGGAGCTGGTAGGCGGGGGGACTGCTAAGGTTGGAGGTCTCCTAGCTACTCGCAAATAAAGGGGTACGAGAAGATTTCCCTGAAGGCGGAGCCGAGAGACAGCCATAGGATAAGTAAGGTCTTCGCTATCCCTAAGGCAACAGATTTCTCATTATAATAGACCTGACAGTGGTGGGAAAAAGGATGAGGTTTATTGCAATTGAGACAAGGGGGAAGACTGCAAGATGTATTGGTATGATCTGCTGCACTATAGACCGGGCACTTTGGTGCAGATGTGCAGTATTTAGCAGTGTGTTCAAAGTGCCAGCAATTTCGACACTGTTGGGAAGTAGGGACCACTTTACGGACCTCTAGGCGATGGCCCGGGATATAAACGGAGGATGGGAGTTCATGGCAGTCAAAGGTTAAGCGGGCAATGTTGCTGGGAAAGCATCCCCACCCATGAGCAGGTAGGACATACGTATCCACTTTGAGAATAGGAAGGTCCTTAAGGGCTAATTGCTCCAAAATTTCATCACTGCAAGACAGAAAAGCACTCTGTACAGTGGTATATGGTAAAACCACCGTACCACTGCAAGAACTGAGAGTAGCGTGCTTGTGAACTGTGACTGGAATGTTATTTATGGAAGTAATAAGGGAAAGACTATGAGCTTGTTCTGTGTTCTGAACTGTAACAATGCATGCACCGCTTCGAAGAGCACGGAAGGATATATTTTGGCCAACGTGTTGTAAATATA